TCCCCCCGAGAACGTGGCCGACGGGTGAGCGCGGGGCATCGCTCATCTGGTGATGTAACTTTTTGTTGGGGGTGGATGGAAGTAAATCCCTCAAGGGAGTTATGAGGGGAAGAAAGTTAAAAAAAAAATGGCGCTTTGGGGTTCTGTTTCCTCCGCAGGAATCCGGAGACCTTCTGGGTAACGACAGGGATGTTCCCCCAGGAGCTGATTGTGGCGCTGCCCACGCGCGTGAGGCTCAGCAAGGTCACGGTGCAGAGCTGCCAGGGTGAGAGCCCGCGGGACGGCGCCGCCGTCCGTCCCGCACCCCGTTTCTCGCAGATGTGTTACAGCCGAGCAAGCAGTCGGTTTGAACACGTGTGTCAGGGGCCAGCTTAGCAACACAGCACCCCTCAACGCCCGAAGTTCTTCATAAATACACGAGGAAGAAGATGGCAAATCTACCCTGTCCCTGCTTGTCTCCTGTGTTCTTTTAATAGCTTTGTATTGAGATTATTGCCAAAAGGGAGTGTTAGGAGGTCAGAGCAGAGAGGCAGCAGTTTGGCCACTAGCAGGTGTTGAGCAAAAGAAAAAAAAAACTTTTATTTGCCCAACCTGGAAAATGCGGGTGATCGTTATGTTAGTCCTGACCCCTAAGTTAGTGATAGAATGAATCAGTTAACGCTGATAAAATACTTTGAGGGTGAAAACTTATGCAATAAAGATTATTGTTGACAAATAATCAAAATCTGTATCAATATTTGAAATGTATGTGTGTTTTAGTGCGGACCTTGAGGATTGAAAGAAGCGTATCTAAAGAACCAGTAGATTTTGAACACTGCATTGAAAAAGGTAAGATGCTGCCTCTGAAGCAGCTGTGATTTTGTGGGAATTGTGGTTCACTTTGGTATTTCTGGATTTTAGAGTAACAAAGCTAGTATTAGGTAAAGCAACTAAGAAAAAGATGGGTCAAATTGTGAGAATATGAACATACTGAAGAATAGCCAGGCTTCCCATCATTTAGCTTGGTGCTACACAACACTATTTTCCCAGCTTGCACATTGCATTTTTAGATGGCAAATGATAAACTTAAAAACAATAATGCTTTATTTTAAGGTTAAAACTTAATTTTATGTCTTTGACTATATGTATGTATATGTACACTATGGAAATATAAGGTCTAGAAGATTTAGTTAGATTCTATTGAGCTATACAAAAACTACTTTTTGATCACTATTGATATACTTTGTGTTTTGGGTGTGAGTCATTTTAACCCTTGTGTGGTTGGTCTCTTATCATGTGGGGTTTGACAATTATTTTATTATACCTTAATTGAACAGACACTTTTTAAGTTTAGGAGGTCTGATCATCTCCTAGTTCTTTGGAGATGTCTAATGCTGTATGAGGGCTAAAAGTATTATTTATTCACTTGATTTCATGATCCAAAAATTAAAAACAGACTTGCATATTACAATGTTATTTCCTGTTGATTTATACCCCTTGGGTGACAGGGTGACATTTTATGAAACTGTGTAATGAGTTACATTTTTACACTGGGATACTGTAAAAAAAAAAATTGTCCTCTTTAACCACCTTGTGAAGAAAAATTTCTAGATGAAATGTAAGTTCATGGCCCTTAAACTCCCATGAACTCTGAAGTTCAGTGAAAATATTTTACAGCAGTGAACATTGTTATTCATTATTTTCTGAAAAAAAAATATATATTTTAGATTTACAATACACAGAAGGAGAGCTTCAAACAGAAGAATTTCCAGTGAGTATTTCCAGCATATACTAGTAGTGTTTCATAGAATGGGTTGTTTAGACTAAATGGGGAGAAAGTATGAAAAAAAAAAAAACTTTTTTTGTGATTATTGCCAAGTTGATGTTAGATATAGCAGTCTATAGATCATCGTATGAGTTTGTGCATGTATAAGTAGCTTAGAGCTCTTTCCAGAGGTGTGACATTCTTCCCTCTCAGTTATTGTCTTCGAGGCTGCAGTACGTTGGTGGGGAGGGAAAGCTGTTTGAATCTAAGATTCTGGCTTGGTGTATTTAGATTTTGAATTGTTATGTGTAATTTGAAAACAGACACAGACATATTTAGATAATTCTGTCTAACAAATTTCTGCAAAAGGTGTTTGGTAGTTATGGTACTACAGTGCAGTAAAGATAACGCAATAAACCATTTTCTTCTTTTTCAGCTTCCAGATTTCCAAGCCACTTACTTGCGTTTCATCATCAAATCTGCTTTCGATCATTTTGTGTCTGTGCACAGGGTGATGGCAGAGGGCACAGCAGAAGACAGTTAAGCCCAGGTTAAATTGGTACTTCAGTATGATTTGTAATGAATTTATATTTTGTTATCTGTAGCACAGAGAATATTTATTATTAAAATATTGTCTTCCCATGTTTTTGGAAGATGTCCCTTAAGAGTTTAATGCATATAATTCAGTACTCTTGCTAATTGTAGTACCAACTGCCCAGTTTTACACCTGGGAGTGTTAACACCGCTCACTGCTTGCCTCATAACACTTGAGGATTACTGAGATCATTAAAATTATTACAGTTGGGCCAGGCTTTCCTAATATATGAATTAAAACTTGTTTTTCTGTGAAGTGTTTCCCTTGCGCTCTGAGTTAAACAGAAAGAATGCATAATACATAAATAGGAGATATTATTTCCTACTACAAAACAAGTCAGAAATTCTTTAGTTGTAATTTTTCTAATTGGTTAAAAACTAATAGAAATTAATAGGATCATAAATAACAAAGGGAGAAAAAAACTCAAGTCATATGATATTTTTAGTAGGTTTTAATAATTGCAGACGAATCACTTGTTTCTATAAATATTTTCTAAAATCAAGTCACAGCTGCCTCTGCTTTATGCTATGACTATCACGATAAATATTAATAGAAACAAACATTAACAGAAATTGTCCTATTCAGAAGCCTTCTGAAGCTTTTAAGAATGAACATTTGGGGAAATTGTATGTATACAGAGAGAATCATAATAACGTGAAATTGCTTGTTCTGCATGCAAGTGCACTTTCACAAATGTCACCACCCAGAATTCTTTCCTATGCAGTGCTCCTTAAAAATCTAAATGGTATCCGATCTTGATAGCTCAATGGACCCAAGTAATATGCATTACTGCATGTGACAGAAACATATTAAAATGCTATAATGCAGTAGCTGGGGTTGTAATAATGAGACTGGAAAGTCTCCAGGCAAATATATGATGAATCACACTACAGATGTTCTTACTTTAGCTCACATTTTCTAGTTGTTTCCATTTTTTCTTTTAACAGTTAGTGTACAAAAGCTTATTCATTGAGCTTTTTCATCCAGGTAGTCTTCACTCTGAAGTCTTCTGGGTTTTCTTATTTACTTCATTTTTTCCAGGATGGCACGTATTTCCGGGGGGTGATAATTCCAAGGTCCTACTCCTCCCTGCAAAGGGAATAAAGTAACGCTGAAATGCACGGAGGCCCTGGAGAGCAGGAGCGCCGCGGCAGATGGTGTGTGCACAGGGCACACCCCGCTCTCACTGGGACCAGGCCAACATCCTCATCCTGCAGCTGAGACCTGTTCCGGGATCCTGCAATTTAGACATACCCCTCTTTTTTTTTTTTTAAGAGCCAAAGGACAAATATTTGAGCAGGACTAAGATGTACACCTAATACGTACATTAAAAAGGCCTTGGCTGGTTTGGTTGCTAATGCTTTTCTCTGCAAATTTACAGTGAGTTGGGAAATTATTAGCTACTAAACAGAATGGAACACTGACTGTTAAGTAAAATGAAAGATGTTCTCTATTTATTTTAAAAGTTAAAAATCTGAACCTGTTGTCCTTGTTGTTTTACCTTATAGATGATCTTCCCTCCTTGAAGTAGATATAATCTTTCTGGTAATGCAGCGTATTTTGAACTGTTCGGGTTTTCCATAGGGTCTAAAACTACTGGACATAAAGGATTCTTTTTCTGGAGAAATTGTGCAGCAGCTCTTCGATCATCAAGGCTTCTGTGATTTTTAATAACAACATTGTTTTTAAAAGCCCATCCATCTAAAACAAATGAAAGGGATTTAGCAAGGAGCATTTTGAGCAGATGTTTTTAAGAATGGAAATCTAGTGTATATTTGTCTGAAAAATGTGTTAGAAGAATACTGCAATGTATTCCTATCACCAAAACTTGCCATGAAATGAATGCTCTATCTTAGAGTACAGGACCAATACAACTTTCCAAAGAAAAGGCTGTCAGATTTTTTTCCTAACTTGTGTAAACTCTATTTTCCCACTTGTCCTCAATTCAGAAATAGTTCATATGTTTTAATTCCAATTTCCCCACATAAATCAAGCCTAAATAAATAGCAGGTTTGGGAGATGCATCACATCTGGATGAAGTTTATCAAGCCTGCTGGCATGGAGAAGTGGATTTTAAAATGAGTAAGTAGTGCTATTAGCTCATACCCATTCAGTTAGCAGTTGCAGCAACAGAACTGTGTGCTTTGCTTGTTTCTGCTCTGTAAATCTATAAAAACAAATCTTAGGTCTATGAGAACTGAAACGTATTTGGGGAAATGCTCCATCTCCTCTTTTAGAAATCTAGAAATACATATTTGTGTTCAGCTCTTCCTAGTAATAAAGAAACTAGTAAAAGTTTGTGAGAAATGACTTAACTTTTAACTATTGCTGAATTACTGAAAATGCCATAATTTTAAGAGTGCTTGAGAACAATTAATGTTAAATTTTACAAAACGAGCTTAATCTTAGTATAAAAGTCTCTGCCAATGCATTTCCTAAAATCCAGTGTACATAAAATACTCTGTATGTTTTGTTGCACTGGTTGTTTTCAAAAATGCCCTTGAGACACGTTAAAATTATTTATAACTATACTGTTTTTTTAGAATGCTTGATACGTGATGTATTGTAAACTTAAACTTTTTTTTTTCTTTTCCAAAAGACGTTGCTGTCCAGGACTGAGAAGCATTTTTTTGTAGATTGAAGAAGATTTTTTTGTACTTTTTTTTTTTTTAAGATTTAACTATGAGCTTGCGCTTCACTTAAAACACAACAAGTTTGATATTGTAATTAGCAAAGTAACAAAACACCTATATCAGCAGGTTTCTGTGCAAGAAGACGTACTAAATATGACAATGCGTATGGTGACTTAAAAGGACAGTGTTGGGAAGAGCTGGGCCTCTAAGGGCAGGTTCTTAATTCTGCTTAACTTTTTGGGCATATCTTGGTTTTCAGAAGTGTCCGGTCTTGCTGCAGCTCTGAGCTGCAAGCTGTTTCAGTCGTGCATAGCAGGCTTCCCTGTTTTCAGTATACTTCTGCCGTTTCCTTCCCAAACAGAACTGCTGTTAAATATTATTTGTTAAGCTAATGTTACACACACTGGCAAAAACACCTATTCAGTAGTTTGCAGATTAACACAATAAATGCCCACATGGGTCAATTACAGTATTCCAAGGCCTCAACCTAAGAGGATGTTTAGAATTCCTAAGCACCTTTTTATTTTACGGTCATGTAAAATTTCCTGAAGTTTGTTCAAGATCTTCCTTCTGACTGGGTTTAACTTCAAAAAGTGGTGCTACTAGTTTCACATCCTAAGAATCTAATAAAATGGATATCCTCCTGTAAAATAATATTTATTTCCAAATTTTCAACTTGATTTTAGATATAAATAGATGTGTGTATATAAAAATATATATATATACATATTTTTAATTGGAAACTTAGAGGTAGAGAAAACTTCACTCCCTCTCATGGGGATGGGAGACTCTAGCTTAATGATTAATTCTGCATTCTACAGAGACCTCAGTGGGAGAGGTGGGCAAAGTGCAAAGCAGCTTCCCTTTCCATTTTTATTCTTTCTTGAATCTGGAAATACACAAGGTGCTTCCTGGGCTGTAGGTTGACCTAAGGAAGTGGTATGGGGACTTGAAGTATGTACACAGAGTGATAGACAGCGTTCCTGAAATGCTGCACGTGGATTCTGTGCATCCCCTTTCCCTGTAACAGATAATTATTTTGGCTTTTTGGAAAGAGGTATTTCCTGGCAGAGCCAGTTTTCATGGGAGGTTCACAAGCTTCCTGGCTTGAATTCCACTGTACCAGGAAGATAAACAGCTTATTTTGGGAAACCGAGACACTGGCAGCTGCCACGAGCTTTATCTTTTCCATCAAATGAAGGCTGTTAATCTGGTTGCACAGGGAGTCTCCAGTCCTGAACCTTTATGGAGGCCACTTGTGCCTGCTCCCCTTTGCGGTGTGTTGTCCTCACTTACCGTTTTAACAAACCAAACCCGTCCCTGTGGCTGATGTACTGACCTTGCATGAAATCGAGGAGCTGACGAACTTCTCCGTTGGAAGTCACCACTGGTGTGTTGGGAGCAGGATGTCCCTCGTATGCTTCATCCTCCAGCCTTTTCCACCTCACTTTCAGCACAAAGAGTAAATATTTGAAGCTGAAAAAAGTCGGACCCCAGTTCTCATAGCTGAACTTTGGATTGTTGTTCATACTGCTTTTTTCGCCCAGCTTTAGGATATATCTTTTCATAGCTTCAGGGAACAGTATCAGCAGTGTTTTACCAACGACGACACACGCAGTAACGTGCAAAAGAATCAAGATTTTTTGCAGAAATACCCCGATACCAAGCATGGTGGTGGAGATCCGAGTGCTCCGAGAGGGAACGCAGCGAACAGCCTGGGCAAAGGTAGAGGGCAGGGGTGAGGCAGCCGGGCTGCTCACGTGTTGGATCCAACTTGTGTCCCGACCCTCCTCTGCACGGGCTCGAGGGTCCAGCACGAGGGGTAGCGTGAGCTGCAGCGAGTGCCTCGGGCTGCACAAAGGCGTTAATTAAAGCGGGTCTTTCTAAGTTTAACTGGGCCATTCTTATTTGCAATTCCAACTTTATGTCTTGTTTTCTGGAGATTAAATTTGAGAATTGGAGCAACGTTAAGTGTTAACGTGTCTGAAGTTGCATACATACACGTTACACAACTGTCAGGAGTTACATGTATAAACTTTACACGTCCCCGCCTCAGAAGCCACATCTATAAATACGTGACCAGCTGCTTTCACCATGGGGGCGGTCTGGGATGTTTTGCGAGGATTGGCGTGCGGGTAAGGCTCCATTTCTCCCCGTTTTTCACCAAAACAGTGTGGAGGGGCTGGAAGGCTTCCCCCACCCCCCCGGGTAGGTCTGTGATGCCGGAGCTTCCCGGTGTTCCAGGCGGTAGGGAGGGTGGAAGGAGCGAAGCCTTCTCCCAATTCCCTCCCCAAGTGCGGCGGTCCCTTTAAGGGGGCGGGCGGGGGCGGAGCCGGGGATGTCGGCGCCTGCGATTGGCCGTTGCCGCCAACGTCGCGGGGAGGGTTCGCCTTTTCCAGAGAGGGGCGGGGC